GTTATTTGGCCCTCGGACCATTTTTTTTGTCGGAGCACTCAGGTCCAGGGTGGTGCTCTGGCTGCGCCAGTAGAGGGTGTAGCACGCTCTCTCTTTTGAAATCTCTCTGAGTAAACGCAGTGACACTGTTACTCACTTTGATACATAGTTCTACACACATATATTTTAATACACAGATGATTTTTATATTCATATATATCTATTAAGAACTGTTTATCGAGATCCTCTCTCGATTTTTTGCGCGTAGAACCCTCTTTGATTTAGGTAATTGTTACATATTTTTTTATAAAAATAAATATACACTCATTTATTTATATACATTCACACACATTCTCTTATATATATATATATATATATATATATATATATATATATATATATATATATATATATATATATATATATATATATATATATATATATATATATATATATATATATATATATATATTTTTTTTAAATGCATCGTGTTATATTTTGTGAAAGCACCCATCTACAATATTGTCTCAAAATGTATTTTTATTGTTTTGTATTATATTTTATTGTATTTGTATTGTTTCATCCATCTCATAAATCTTTGAGTTATTCTTTAACATGTATGCTATTGTTATATGCTATGTTCTATGGGTGACATTGTATTGGCGTTTCTTTCTTTGGCAGTGTGACATACATTTCCATGCTTTGTGCTGCATTTTCAGTCTACCTCCCATTTTTCTTAACCAGACAGAGTATTGCTTGGTCACAGACTATAATAAATCACGCTCTTGGCACAAAAGAGACAGCAGTTGCATGCTCACATGAATATTTCACTTCCCAATGAATAAAATGTAGACCAATGGATGTGGATAAAAGTCATTATTGTGATCCTTCATTTTGTTTTATTTCATTGGCCTATGAACTTTCGAGAGCACATCTTCTTGGGGCCAAGTTGAATTGTTAATCAGACATTTAAGAACTGGTTGACAGATTTCTATGGATTTGGCTGTATATAGCAACTACAGGTGCTACTGAAAACTGCAGGGTGAATCTGTTTGTGAAGGCTTTTAAAGAAAGCCTGGATCAAGATTTTGCTTGAATCTTTTTTTTAATTAACTGCATATTTTAGGGAAAGACGTTGCAATGAAATATTGCTCATATGCTGAAATCAATGCTCTTAAATCCTCAATAGCTGTAACAAATATGTACATTTTAAGTTAAACATATTGTGTATGAACATATGCATTATTATATTTTTTCTGTCTGTCACTGGGTATAAAATGATGCTGCAACACACTCTCATGCACATAAATCAGATCACTCAGTCAGTCATTCCTGTAATAAGCAGTAACCGTCTAGCTGTCACTGTACTGATGGACCGACATGATGCTATGTCCCTGTCTAGCTCTGTCTCCCTCTGTGTCTGTCTGTCTCTCTCTCTCTCCGTCGTCTCCCTTCTTTTTCTCCATCTCGCTCTTCTTCCCAATCAGGCCAGCATACTGATCCTAAAGCTGTTTGACATTTATACAAAAATAAGTGAGCCGGGTTGATCGTCCAACGGTCAACCGTCCAAACAGTCAACCGGCTTGTGTAATCGGGCAGATCCCAGACAGCCAGTCTACAGAGTGAGCAGACCACCCGGCCAGCTTGCCTGTGACCCTTCCTGTTGCTCCGTCCATCTGTCTGACTGCCCATCTGCATCCGCCTGTTTAACAGTGTATCAGGCTGTGGGCATGTAGGGTTTTGTCAGGGTCTTAAAAGGCTCAAATTTAGATTTTAGGATAGTGCAGTAAATAGGCATAACGTCAGGTATTGGGAAATAGCATCAGCGTCCAGTCTGCAAATAAACATCGAGTTTAAAGCTTGATGACCTTTAGACTGTAGTGGGAATTTTCAGGTAAATTGACAACCTGCACAACAAGCGCAAAATTTCCATGACTCGGCTTTGGTTGAAACATTTTTTCTGCAATTCAGTGAATACTCAGTATTCAGTGTCCTATAGTGAGTCAACTCATGTGAAATAGATACTTTAGTGTAAAATATATAAAACATAGATGTTAAGTGCCAACTGTGCCCCCCCCCCCAACCCCAAAGAAAGACTGAGGAGGTAGTGGGGGAAAAGGATACTTCTTTCCCCAGTCAGCGTGTAGGTGGTGTGTGGAGATGAAGGTGTGACTTTTGAGATTCTTCATGTATCAGTGGCAGCGCTAGTAGCTAGTGACAGCATACTGTTGCTTTAGGGTGGCGTATGTGTCAGCTGGCATGTTGCAAGACAGTGAGCAAAGCACTGAAGGCTTAAGTACACACTATGATTAAGAAGCGTGTGACGGAGGTACGTACTGAACGCAAAGGT